TTGGGAAGTAGAGAAAATTTCGAAAGGAGACCTGAATGTCTAGGAAACAAGAAAAAAATAATAATCGAAGACATGTGACGTTCGCCAATACGCATTGGGGCAGCACGGCGTACCTTGTCTTAAAAGTTAAAACCCTCTCAGAAATGAGTGTGCCCAGTAGTGGGACGTATATAGGTAGTAACTTTATAAATACTTTACGCCCATATTTAATTTTTTAATGCCTCGTTGATCATTAGCGCCAACTACTAATCTTGATAACCCAGGTTTAAATCCCGGGTTTTTCTGTAAGAAATTCTCAGTAACAAGAATTCTGCCCGGAATCAGGAATGTGGCGGTGTTTTGCCCCCATTCTTCGGAAAGCAAGTAAATCTGTTAGTCCTGCACCTGATCTCTCACACGTCGTGTCGGATTGCTGTCTCGTTGGACTATAAGAGTGGTGGAACAGAGACTGCACCCGTGTTTACGCGCACACTCGTGCACTATAATCCTGTCCGTCGCAGATGGCTAGTCTCCGTTGAGACTGTTCGCCGTGAAAGAAATTCTGTCTGGAGGACACTATATTTATAATTTACAAGTACACCGAGGTCAACGGCAAAACAACTCACCGTTCAAAGCGTTAAAATACTACAATATATTATCTAAAATTTCAATCGTCATTGCGCACTCCACCGGATGTTACTGTACGAGTGTTGAGCTGAAATGTAAACGTCAACAAGCAGCCGCAAGTTTGTCATGCGACAAAAAGCCACACACTTCGAAATGTGTATATTTATTTTAACGACAGACGTAAGCCTCTTAGTTCAAAGGGGCGTGCGAACTGTCTAATCTTCACTGCTGTTATTATGAACGCATCTTTATACCTCAATTTAATGGGTTCTTTTAATTAGGATGAAATAATTTTATTTTAATTACTATTTATAAGAATTAAATAAATAAATACAACATAGGTAATAGGTAGTTATATATTTTACTATTGGTTCGAAACACATCATCGTACATTGGTTCAAGAAAATACTAGCGAAATAACAGCGGGATTTTATAAGGTAACAGTTTACAACATTTAACTAGTAAATTAAGAACAGCTTGGCAGCAATCATCTCTTTCTCAGGGGTCATATTATAACCCTTTTAATGTATTCGTTATATTATAAACGTTTTAAAAGAGCCTTTTTTTAATGAAAAATTAAGTTTGTTATTAGACAGACAGACCTTGCATATTAGCTATAACTTTGTTTCATAAGTAGGCTATATAATAAATAGATTTCCATTGATTGTCTGTCCCTGGTGTTCAATTGCATTGTAATATGTATCAATTATGAAATTAAATAAAATAAATTTATTCGGTTTTTAGATCATAATACATAATATATCGAAGATATATTATTATTAGGTGTAATACGTTGAAGTATTAAAGTATGTTACGTCTCTATTTATCGTGATTTTTTTTTCAAATCGAAATAATATACCGCCTAAAATATTTTAATTCCCCAAAGACATCATTATTATTAGTTGGTCGACTCGACCGGGGAAGAAACACGATATCACAGAATATCAGCGTAAAAGCAGTTTACTGCAGTTCTGTTACGTATGATGAGTGTAGAGATCCCTTTTTTGATAGTAACGAGGTATGTACATTTTGATTCTTAATCAGGGATATATCTATTAAGTAGGTCTATGAGCCACAGCATCAGGTAGATTATTTGCTCGTTTGTCACCTTTATTATAAAAAAAATCAGTCAAAACGTTGGTTATTATGTTGTCACATAAATCAATTTTAAAAGTTATCCATTTACTCTACTAGAAATACTCAGGTAGTAGGACTTATTATCTAGATACACAGAAATCTATATAATAATATTGCCTTATTATTTAGATTTCTGTGTCTAGATACTTAGTTTCAGGTATATACGAAGTTATCTGTGGTACTTAGACCTTTTACAATAAATAGAAGCTAACCTTGTGTCTGAGCGTTTATCTAAAACAGACAGTGAGAAGACGGCCTTCGTCGATCACTTTGTGTTATTATAATAATAATACGTATAGGTTAATATATTGACTAGATTCGAACGCAATAACAAAGCCGAAAGAAAATTAAAAAATAGCAATTGGACGAAATTAGACATTTCTCTTTGCACTCACTTTACAAGAGTTAATCTGAATACGGACTATTTTTAAAATTATATTAGGGTTTAATATAAAAGGACAGGCTACGTTTCGCGGGGCCGTAGGTTCGAAAACCGCACAATACATGTGTTTGTATGGCTTATAAAAAAAGTTTCACACCAACATATGAGAAAATCCCAACTTTAAAATACTTAAGAAAAGATGTTATTAAGCTACTGCACAATTTCAAGCATTTAAGTCTACATAAGCATCGTCACTTCCAAAGATTAAGATGCCTTTAAGAACAGCTTGTGATTTTCTTGGCTCACTTAGCATTGTCCTCTATATAATGTTGTAAACACTAATACGCCGTAGCTTGTTTAATGATCAGCTAATACTGCATTCAAAAACTTACAGTTTGTATAACAGGGTGAATTATTTGTTTTCGGGTCTTCTTAGCGAGCTGTACTGACAGCGTGTTTCCAAATCTATCTCCGGCGGTGTTACCGCAAAAGCACTAAAACAGTCAAACGTGTTATCGTAACCGTTATCTAAGTCAGAACTGGAGCGTTCATCTTAATTTTCATAAAAGTCAACTATTACAGTGCCTAAGATATTATATAACATAAAAAAAATTAAATTAATTTTTTCTGGATCTCCAAATTTATCAGCTGTGAAGAGACGGGGTAAGAGAACATACTACATATGGGGAAGAGAAGAGACAGGAGACAGGAGACAATTAGGGGATGACAGCGGCCTCTACCTGATATCTGAAAAAAACTGCGATTTTCAACCCGAAAACTATAGCAGACCCTCCCTGAGGCAATCTATGGTAAAATCCCCTCTATGAGGATACTATGGGAAAGCCTATGTTCAGAAATATTTTACTAAGGGAGGATGAAAAATTAATTTCATTTGACGTTTAGACCGATTTACACTTCGAGAAGTACAGTAGCGAGTTAACTTGCGAACCTGGCGAGTTAAGTTTGAACCTCGATTGAACTGCAATAAACGAGTTAAATAGCAAGTTGAACGGGATAGCCCGCCGAGCTATTTTTCGGCGAGTTAAGTGCGTAGTGCTACCATCCCGCGCGTTTCCCTTCACCCGCAACTAAACTCGCCTTTCGTGTAAACGGGCGAGTTTAGTTTAGTGCTTAAGTTGACAGGACGCAACATTTGCGCGCCAAAACTTTTTTTTTATAATTAAACTCGCCGCAAAGTTTGTACGATACTGCTTATTGAATATTTATACGTTTTATATTGAGTTTTAATAATAAAATGGACAGAGGATATCATGTATAAATTTGTACAGGAGTATTTAGAACACGAATGTTTATATAATAGTAGAAGTTCAAATTGTAAAATTAACTCGAGAACCTCATGAAAATTCTTAAAACCTTCTTTAACAACAACCATTTATACTTCTCTGACTGGATCATTTAACTCTTGACGTAATCCTAGAACCGTCTTAAACAAAAACCAGAAAAATTCTGTAGTCTTGAAACGTCATACTCCGACGAACTCCATGAACTAATGTCCATAACTAAACTCGCCACGAAGACATTGTTTGAACGCTACTGCCCACTTAATCATTTACTGTCAACTGCCCTGTAACTAAACTCGCTACTGTACTTGTCGAAGTATAAATCGATTTTTTAATTGCAAAAATTTACAACAAGTTGGTACATATTTGTTATTGAGAGCAGACCCAATTACAACCACACGCTTTTTTACTACTGCAAATCGACGCTATGGCCAAAACCGGCTAGTCATAACATGAAAAAAGTGAATATAAATTGTGCTATATGTATGTATAAGAAATACACTTAGCTTACCTAGATTTATATTACTACCAATTATGGTTTTGCCCAATTATTCGAGCTTCGAACTCAAACGAGCACAAAACTCGCATAAGATCGTCGTTATTAATGCATACAGTTAGTGAAGGTGGTATTAGATGTAAATGTAACGGTCAGGACAAGTTGAGAAAGAAATATTTCATTAAAAAAAAGAATAAAATATATCCATTTAATAACTGTGTCGGGAAATTTGGATCAACCTTCCAAACAAACAGTAAATAATTTTAACTCAATATAAATACAAACTAACCTTCAAAAACGGAATATCGTCTAAATTGAACAATCTTTATGAAAATTATGGACTTTTATTTTAAATTTATATAAAATCATACCGGAAGTGTTAACAAAAACAGAAATATAATCAGTGATCATACAAAAAAAAACATACGCGTCGAATTTGTTATTTTTTCTCGTTTATTTGAACTCAGTTAAAAACCAAGAAAAGGTACGAATTAAAAGCCCTCACTACTAAAGCCCTATTATTGGTTTGACTATTCAGACTAGGTGTTCGCTTGGATTGGTTGGATAATAATAACAACACACAGGGGTTGTCTATGCATTTTCAATTTCATTATTTAAAGTCTGCAAATGTCCAATAACCATGCTTCAGATTAAGGAACGTTCTATAATCTGAAGCCCATGTGCTCTAGGTCTCTAGAAACCAGTTATCAACAAGTGAACAAAACGAACATACATTTTGTTACTTCATGAAATGTAACACAATTGCTTTAAAGCCGCGATCATTAATAAAGTTCCACCAAATACATAATACATTATATATGGAACGCCGAAAATACATATAGATGTCGAGAATTATCAGTCGCATACGACGGGAGCAAAAAATAATAACTATAAATCTGAAGAAGCTCAAAGAACCGTTATACAAGCAACGCATGTTGTACGTTCGACAATCGTTTATCAATTATCACAAACAAAATATGTAAGTGCTTTATAAATATTATTTACATCAACAGACGTGTAATCTAATAGTAAATACATTATTTTATTTATGATAACACTATTTTTGTAAATTATACAGGACAGAGACGTTAAAGCTTTGGAAAAATCAAGTAAAAACAAATTAAAACAACCTGTAGGGATATCAACATCACCGTTTCCAAAAAACTGTTACGAATATTTTCTTTAAATATAATTTTACGTTTAATAAGGATAATAACGTATAAAAAAAGTTTTTAACTTTGCCATTACATTTTAAACTAATAAAAACTCTTACTATCACCCACACATACACTATAAACGCATGAAACATCCCAAAATATTTATTTAGTATCGCCAACATGACTTTTTTAATATTAGTATGTAAATTGTTCATTTAATTTTGCTGACATAAAAATTATAATAAATATATTTATGTCAGCAAAATTAAATGAAAAATACGTAAATGTACCCACTAAATTTATCTTTTTACTATACTCCTAAATTATAAATAAGCCATTCGCTCGCCTTTAATTTTATAGTACGCATTAAACACAAGTTCGGTATTCGGTGCCAGAATAACATATATTATTATTTTTTAATAAATAAATAACATAAAAAATATCAAATTGTATATTTGCGAAATGTACTTACTAACATATAGGTACACTAAATTATCTAGAAATATATTAAGCTTTATCACACAATTTTGAAAATAATGGATACCTGTGGGACATTAAAAGGCCTAGTTGCCTATTCTTTACATAACGCAGTGGGCACGCAAAAACCATTGTAAGCAATGAAAAAATAAGTTTTTTTAGAGGGTTTTTTTTTTTTGGGGGGGGGGGAGAGGGGGGGGGCGGGTCGGGGGGGGGGGGGGGGGGGGGGGGGTGGGGGGGTTTTGGGTGGGGGTGTTTTTTTTTTTTTTTTTTTTTTTTTTTTGTTCTTTTTTTTTTTTTTTTTTTCCCCCTTTTTTGGTGGCTCTTTCCTTGCTAATTAACGCCCACCGTAATCTGAAGTGGGATGGATATGTCTGACTGATAACACGTGTTTGTGAATGCAGCGGTATCAAATGCTGGTTAAAACCCCTTGCGAACTACGTTCTAGAAACATTGACTTAATACCTATTTAAAAACTGTTTGAATTAGATAAAATGGAACTAAAAGTTTAAATAGGTATTACATTTAAACAAAATATAAAATACAAACTAAGTAGATACAAAACAAATTTGCAATAAAATATCTAAATTAAAGAAGTTAATTTATATTTATGATCGTGTATTCACATTTAAAAAATTTGAAATCGGATTTTAATTTTTTAAGAAAAATCAACATGCTCAATTTAATATACAAGGTGGTAATTTCCCCTTTCGCTTTTTTAACTTTAAGCGACAGTAGCCTAATGGCAGGGCGCGGAACCACTCGTAACACAAGCAATTTAAGCTTACCACGAGTGGTTAAGGGGAATATTAGTAATGTTTATAGTATTGTAATATTCTTTTTAAGAAAAAAAGAAAAAAAACTTCATAAATAAAGGTTTCTAGTGGACATGGAACGAGTAGTAATTAGCCGAGTACTCTCGGCCACCGAGTACACGGCCTAGATTAGGCCGAGTACTCTACTCGGTTAATAAAAATGCGGTAGTGGGCGGCGCGCGATTATTTCCCTTACACAGAGTTAGGGATGAAACGATACCAGTAAATACAAGAACTTACTTGATACTTTTCTTTCGATACCAAGTACTTGGTATCGATACTTTAAAACTGAGTACCAAGTAGTATCGAAAGAAAGGTACTTGTATCGGTACTGATCAGTCACACCACGGACACTGTTGATGAGTGTTTACTAATTACTTGTTAAATAACTCATTTTCGAGAGATTGTTTTCGAAATGCGAAAATGACAGCTTATAAAAATCGTTTCATTGGAAAATATCTAGAAAAATTATTGATCTTAGGAAACAGATTAAAAAATTCATTCAAAACATGCTCCTGAAAAAGAAAGAAGCTGCTGACGCATCAACCAGTTACCGACCTAATGATTTTAAGAATTCCGCTGCAGCAGAGTTAGATCATTACTTAAGCGTACCAACGGCCGCAAGAGATGCAAATCCATATAAATGGTGGGTTTCTAATAAAGGCTATTACCCCATCTTGAAAAAAGTTGCGGCTCAATACTTATCAACACCCGCCAGTTCAGTTTACAGTGAACGGCTTTTTTCAGAGGAGGGCTTAGTATATGAAGCAAAAAGGAGTAAACTAGACCCAAATAGTGCAAAAAGTGTTTTTGCATCACAATCTTCCTCTCTTAAATTTTAAATATTAGTAATAATAATTTCTATTAAAGATTCTTATGTACGTTCTCAATATTTCTCCTGTTTCTCATTTCCTGATGTTTTAATGTGTCTAATAATGATAAAAATGGCTTCTTGTCTTTATTTTTCTCTGGAACTCGCGGTACTCGGCCGTTAATACTCGGTGTTCGGCCGAACCCTAAAAAAAGTCCGAATCCGCCGCGTACCGAATCCAAACCGAGTACTCGTTCCATGTCTAGTTTCTAGTGGAATGACATACCTAAAAAATCTTAATAAGTGGAAAATATATTTTGAACGTTACCCATTGTTGATAACGCAATTATAAAATTAATAATTATAAATAGTACTTAATACGAAACACTCATGAACAACAAAGACGTGGCTCGGGACCACGCTTTGTGGTATATTATAATAATGATACGAGAACTTGGATGATTAATTTATACGAAATAAATGTGTTACATCCATTTTTTATCACAATTTGTTCTAATGAAGTGTTTAGTGGCAAGCTGATACGAGAAAAACTAAAAAATTTATCTTTACAAAACCCAAACACTAACTTATCTACAGCAGGCCTGTGTCACTCTTGCTACCTGCGTGACATAATTACCTATAATCGCGAGACGGCCCGGACCGCATACGCAGTCGGGGGGATAGCTCCTTGCAGGCGATTGAATATAAACTTTTTTAACGCTGTTTACGTAAATAGTTTTTTGTAAATGCTTGTTGAAATAGTTTTTGTTTAGTGTTTTGTATATTTAATTGTAGGATAAAATAGTTGAAAAAAGTTTAAAGTAATTTAAAAATTATACATGTATATTATCTATTTGATATACCTATATCATTCTTTAAGATACCGAAGGATTTTAATAGGTAGTTATGAAAGGTGAATTTATTTCATATTTTTATTAGATAGGTATTTATAGCAATAAAGAATTAATAATCTAACAGAAGTACTTTTATTACTAAACTTCGTTGAAATTTACTTTACTATCCAAGTACCTATACATACCTATACTTGTCTTCTGTAATTATAACACAAAATACTGAAATTAAAACTTGGTTTACTAACAAGATTTTAGTAGAATACAAACAATCACATTTCTGTTATGATTCGTATTTCGGGTTTATTTGTTGTTTACACTATCTACCTATTTCTTCCGAGCAAAGCATCGCGATTCCCGACAAATGGCCTTGCAAGTTGCATGCTTTGGACACATAGAATACTATAATACACAACATAATGGCTATCAACCTTACTTTGTAGGAGTATTGGCGTCGCCAGGAGCACACATACAAGCAATTACATCGTATTATTAATTATCACTACAAACACATTTGAGACTTTTGATTAATGTTTTTGACACATAAATGTATATTTGTTTTTGTTTCTAATATTCACAAAATATAAATAGTTTCGACTTACTGGTTGTAGAATATGTCTCCTCTATTTAAATTCCATTTCCCGTTGTTCTTTCGACACGTAATCATTCCGCAATTTGCCATTTTTTAAATAATTTGCATGCAGCGACGCTTGACACGAAAATTGGAAACGATTGATTGTGTTTTACATTTACAAGTGTGAATTGACATGTTAGTGGCTACACGGTCTCCGCCCACTCCTCCGTTCTATTATGTATGTATTATAATATTCTATGTTTGGACATCACAGAACTCAAATAGTAGCGAAAATATGATCAGTCGATCATAGTCAAAATAGGTACTTCCTAAGTAACTAACAATTTCGCACTATATTTTTTTACTTTATATTGATAGCCCTTAGTAACCACAGAAAATCCACCGTGACGTTGGAAGGGGAAAAGATGTAAAGTAAAGTAATACGGACACTCGCGCGCAACGATAAAATTTTATTTAACTTGCGTGCACGATATATGCTATTTAACGTCGGCAAGCAGTCAATACAAATGGACTGCAACTTCTGTACGTAGTATGTACTATTATTTATTCTGTATCTACAGTAAGGTAACCTTGTTAAACATTAAAATAAAATAATTATTGATGTTATCCAACTTAATGCATACTCGTCGTGACGTGATCCATAATTGAAAGTCATTACGTACATATTTATCCCTGAGCCTTTAAGACTTATCTAGCACACCAAAAAGTCAAAAGGCATTAATTAACCTTATGGGAGTAGCCCAAAAGTGGGTAATACCGTAGTACTATTATTTATTCTATGGTAATGCAAATGCAAAAATGAGTAGCAAAAATTTATGATGAAAAAAATGCATGTACGTCATCTTACCTTGAGACGTGAGTCGTTCTAGGGTTATACTACACTATGACGACAAACCGACAGAGCGTTCTATATGTGATTTCACTTTCTTTACTCTTTCCTTTATTAAATTATTAAATTTTGGGAAGTTAGGCGAGGCAGAAAGAAAGAAAACTTCCTGACTAGCTAATCAGGATCCTCACTGTTTTAAGTCTTATTATACTTTCCTTTTCCTTTCCTGAATGCTAAGTTCCTAAATATAGTGTATGTAATATGCCCTTTACAATTTAAAATAAGGTCAATAAACTTTGGTCAAAACTAAACATCCAAATCGTTTGTAGTAAACTTAATGTAAACAAAACGTTTTTTGTACACCCTATTTTTATACACTTCAGTGAACGGCATATTATTACAGATGGGCAATACACCCACCTGGGTTTAAACCCAGGTGGGTAAAAACCTGGTGTTTAGGGTGTTTTGGGTTTAAACCCAGTAAACACCCAAATTTTTGGGTGTTTACGATTTTTAACTTAAATTCGAAAACCTATTCTACTTCTCGACCTCACCAAATGCTGGCTGGTACAGTGGGCCACAGTTCCAGCTACCCGTTTCCGTATTTTCTTTCGATAGACCAAGGCGACATGAAAGACCGGATATGGTTAGCTTGAGCTGTGACCCTCCGAGTGTGTAGAAGAGATCCGCATTAAACACAAACTTAATATTCAGTAATAAAAACACGTAAAAATTAAAGTCATGAATTCATGATTGAAAATTCATTTCAGTCATAACATTTACTTGGCATTTATTTATACTCACTATGTGACTCTAAGTCAGACTCACGAACAATATAGTAAAGTAATGTTATTATGTCGCCTACAAAATAAAAATTGTGTTTGAGTCTATTCTCATCCCGGGGGGGGGGGGGGGGGGACAGAAATTGAAATGATGAATTTGAATTTCTATGACGGGTTTGGGTGTTCCTATGTATAAAACATGTATTTAAAAAGTATATAAGTAGTATATCCAGTAAGCTAGCACCCATTACATAAGCATATTAGTTGCTTACTTTGGAGCTAGGTAGCATTGTGTGAAATTGTCCAAAGATATTTGTTAATTATTTATTTATTAAAAAAGAGATAAAATAAAATAAAAATGCAATCAATCACTATCCGATTCAACATTGTCACAGGCGACAAATTGGATAGGTTCCATCTCGTCTGAACTATTATAGTCATTTACTTCATCGATGAAAGCTTCTATGACATTTTCTTCTTCATTTTCTTCATGAAACTGAATGTTCTCATGTTCATGTTTATGTTTAAGATTCCAGTTATAACAAATGAATGAAATTTTTTCAGCTCTTTCAGTTGTAAGTCGATTTCTTTTGTTATTATGTATGTAGCCTTGGATACTAAAGGAACGCTCGGTGGCTGCAGAAGTACACGGAGCTGATAGAATACGAATCGCTACTTTGCTAAGCTCGGTGGAACCACAAATACCTTTCCACCATATTATGAGCTCAATACTATCTAATGAGCTCCATAGAAATCGTCTGACCCAAAAGTTTTCTTTAGCTTTGTAACACGCCAAATCTGCCATTACATTAAACAAACTCAAGTTTGACTTAAATTGTAGATAAACTCCATACCCTGAAGTTCTTCATCTTGAGTAAGTTCTAATCCCTGAGCTGTAGGGTCTAGGATATGCTGCCAAATGTATTGGTCTAATTGCCATATTGCATCTTGAAGAGACTGATGTTAGAATTTGCTGTTTGCTTTCTTCGCTCCATGTTGAAATATCAGATAAACGAATAAAATGATTGATTGATTGATTAAAGTGAAACGTATCTTAGCTTGTATATCTAAACGTAATGTATGTGCGATGTATACGATTCTGGTTGCTCTCTAAGTAAAATATGCTTTCAGTGACTGGTTCCAAAATACTTATACATTCACCTGTCTTCGTCCAAAAATCATCACTTAGAATTAAATCTTTAATATCTCTTGCGATTTCCACGTCTTCTCGAACTGCCAATATTTGCAAAGCTGATCTATTTGCTTTTAAACTTTTTAATGAAGTAATATGACTTCCCCATCTAGTAACACAAGGCAATTTTAGTGTTCGTGTAGAATCTTGGCCCTGACTGAATTTTCTCAAAAGTGAAGTCAATCGTTGGCTCTTTTTAAAATATTTTATTATAGTTATGACTTGCATTATAAATAAAGTAATCTCTTGTACCTTTATGATATCTTGGCATAACAAGTTGAGGACATGTGCACAGCAACCGAGAGGAACAACATGTGGATATTTGAGTTTTATTAATTGAAATGCCTTTTGTATGTTTCTGGCGTTGTCGCCAATAAGTACAAGAAACTTATTTTCTCCATACGCTTGCATTACTTTTTCAATTTCTTGGCAAAGATATTCACTAGTGTGACGATTACTTTCTGTATATAAACTTTTTATATATGCAGGTCGAGGTTTTGATATAAGAAAGTTTATTATTCCTTCATTTCTTATATTAGACCAGCCATCGCACTGAAGGTGTAAGTGCAAGCGTTTAGTTCCTCATTTAACTCTAGACGCATCTCTCTATATATTTTATCTAAATATTTTGTCGCTACAGTTTTACGTGAAGGTATTTTAAAATTTAGTTGCAATTTTTCGAAAAATTGTATCCATAAAGGATGTTGCACCATCGATAATGGCATCCCTGTTACAAATATAGCTCTCGCTAATTTTATTTTTATGTCATCATGATCATTGCTGTCTTGAAACTCAGTATTCATGGTACTGTTAGCAGACGATGAGGCACTTGGAAGAGAATTATTTATCTCTGGCAGTTCGGGTTTTTCTGTTTTGGACGAGCTATCTTTTATAGTGTTCATAGAATCCTTTAATGATTTTGGAGTTTTTAGACAAGTGATAAGATGTTGAAGCATTTTGGCAGCATTACTAAATTTATAGACCTTATTACAAACCTTGCAGGAAACAGACTTGTGTGGTAAAGTACGGTAGTGCTCCCATATGCGTAAATCTTTAGGTCGCGCCATTGTACCTAAAAAAATTGTACATTATTTGGTTTTGAACTAAATCAAGCAGGCTACGAAAAATAATGTTATTTAAATTATTTTAATTAAAAGATTAATTTATTTAAGAACCTTGGCCCAGGGAGTTCATAAAAAAATTGAACTAGAGTATGTACCTACTTAAACTGTATTTTTTTCTTTACAATAAAAAAATCAACTTTGATTTAAATCATTGCTGTTTACAATATAAATCTTAATTTAAATCAATTTGGTTGATATCAATTTCAAACAGCAAACCTTGGCCTCAAGAGTTAAAATATCGTAGAAAAAAAACTAAAATCATATTTACTGTATCAACTATCGATATAAATAAAATCGTTTTGATTCCTAAAAATATAAATTTCTAACATTTGAAAACCCACTTACCTTATAAAAACAAACAGTTTAATTAATAAATTTTATTATTATGTATTTTTTTTAAATTTGTTAACTTTATAAACTTTCATACTCCTACTCTAATAGTTAATTAGGAAGAAGTAACTCTATTTGAGCGTTGGCGCCTCATCTTCATTCAGCGTTGATGAATAGGGGAATTCCGCATTATAATGTTTGCAAGCGTAGAGATGTCGCTTCAAATCCATAGACAAAAAAGGTAATAACACTTCTCGATACTAGATGGCGCTAGTCATATCTTAAGAAAGTTTGCGGAGTGAAATAATTATAGTGTGTACACACGTTCCGATCCGACGGCCAATTAATTTACCATAATAAATATTATTCGTGTTTGACGCGGTCTGGCCGGATTTGGTTCATACGAACTTCACTTCCAACTAAATCGGAACATTTGTAGGCTGCTGCCCTGATCAACTACGCAGTTTTGACAATTTCGGAGATTTTCCCTAGATTTAGGGAGAAAAAATGTAAAAGCTGAAATATTTGAGGCATGATTTTCGCGTAAGACTTACCGAACGAATGGTTTAAATCTGCCCATTAGTGTAAAGATTCTTTTATCTTTTAGCTTTTTTTTTCGTTTATTTTATCTAATAACTCGATTTTGTCGTAAAACTAAATTTATATAAAGAAGGCATATGAATATTTAGCTTGTATTAGTATTTTAATGAAAATCGTCTGCGCATGACTTTAATGCTACAGGATTTGTTTTTAATGCTACTAAACGATAGATGGCGCAATTTTAATAAGATTGATTTGATCTTTAATGACAGGCTCAGAAAAGCAAGATTCCAGATCCGTAAATCTATAGATTATAGATACAGGGAATTTCCCTTATACATATAATACCTGACATAACGTGCGTGCGTTATTCTTTCGCTGTCTGTTCTAGAAAGTCAGCCGCGGTTACTGAAGGGTATTGTTTATGTGCAAAAATATTTAATAAAATAACTTTATTACATTAATTTGGGCATTATTAGTTGCTAATCACTGGAAACAAAATGGAGGCTAAGTTTAGAGATGAAGACGTTTCTATAAAACAATTAATAAAAGAAAATCTACGTAAACGTAAGTACCTACACTGTACCTATTACTTACCTAGCTCATAAGCTACTTAGAACGCTTGTGTTCGCATAGCGGTTCTATTTTTTTTTTTGTAATTGTAGAAAAAAGAAATCCGCTAAGCCGTAGCCGTAGCCGATCTCCAAATATAGTGAGACTATATAGTGAGACCCAGTATCCAAAGATTTGCCCGGGATAGCCACAATGAAAAAAAAACCAGAACAGAGAAAAAAACTTACAAAAACAAAGAAGAAAAAAACTGTTCCGAATGCGCAAAATTGTATGAAGAAAATGATAAAAGAAACGAGCATTTTGGAATGTTAGTGGCTGAAGAATTTAAATATATACGGCCATGTGTGCGCACGAGGTGTTATGAGGAAATTTTAAAATATCTACGGCAAGCAAAAGGCCAACATGTTGGTCAACTACAACATGAAAGTACCGAAAACTAATATTGGGTGACGTTTCTTTAAATTTCTATAGTTGTATTGATCATTATAATCAATAAAAATAAATTTTAAAACTTGTTTTTAATATTACTTAAGTATTTACACAAATTAAATAAACACCCAATTTTTTGGGTGTTTATGGGTGTTTACGGGTGTTTATTGGGTTTTTACCAAAGCACCGGGTTTTAACCCGGTGCTTTGCCCATCTGTACATATTATACATAACCTGTACCTAAATACCTATTTTATTATACGTGCCTAAATATATTCGTACCATAGTTTATTTACGAACATTTAACACAGCATAATATAAATAATTACAAAATTAAAAACAATATATAAAATTGAAATGACACCCGAACTCACAGACAATGGACCGATGAAAACTAAGATGTAATGCCTCCCAGCTTATTGCCAAACTGTCTCTCTATATCCTTTAGACAGGAACAAACGGTGCAAGCACTGCCGTTTTGCGGCAGAGATGGATAAGAGGGTGGTACCCAGGTGGACACTTAGGCAGCAAAAGGAGTCCTACTACATTAAGGCCAGGCTCTAAATTTAAATGACGCGTATGCATATTATGAAAAAAAAAAACAATTAGGAGATAGGTAGACCGTCAAATGGAAACGCGAGACGTAGACGGCGATGTTAAATAGAGCGAACAACTGGAACAAGGGCCAATATTTACACAGGCAACACTAGAATTTTAATTAAATAATCGATACGCGTAACGAATAGTAGACACAAACAATTTAAAAATATGTTCACTCACGTAAAAAATTTAGGCGTTTCCAAATAAAAGTTATCAATTTTTATTTTACCGCTGCTAGGCGAATTTCATGTTATCTGTTTTTTAGATACATAAAGAGTTCAAAAATAATATATGTATAGACCTAGTACAAATATAGTGATAGAGAGTAGCGTGATCTTGTCAACTCGACTCGACAGTAAGGCTCAACTCGACAACACATCGAAAACGCTATCGCCGTACTGATCCGAGTGAATACATAATTTCTATAAAAACTTGAAGAAACGCCGTCATAAGGTTTAAAATTGCGTAGCGCCCGCGACGATTAAAAGCGCTTAGAAATTGTCAGAATCTTAAAATATTTTTAAAAAAATTATTGATTTAAGTTATCAAAATAATGAGCAAGTAAATTATGAATAGTGATGTTATGAATATATTTGAGTGATTCCCAAGCATGTAGATCAAATAATTTCGTTGTAATTTCAACTGTAGTGATTTTTAGAGGTGTTTTCGCAAATAATTATGATCGAGTCAAAATTATACAATCGTGTTTTTGAGCAATCAAATTCAAGATAAAGACATGAATTTACCTATATCAAAATCCCACTTTCGTTAGTGGTGTCATAGTCCTATACTATTCGATAAAAGGTGTATTTTTTCACGGTGTCGCCTTAACTAAAGAAAGCCCAACCTTTCTCGCTTCGAGTTCGAGGTGTGCAAAAGTTAAGCAACACGCATTGATCATTAAGTTGTGATGATCCCAGTGAGAACACATGACATAGTTTCACTAGGACATATTCTTAAAATTATTGTATTCTCATCGGTTCGGAATATGTGTATAATTCACATTATGTGGTCGGCATGAGCGGGGAAGGACCACGCTCTCACAGAATGCCAGCGTAAAATAGCAGCTTAATGCTGCAGTGTTTCGTATGGTGAAAAATAAAATAAAATCAAGGACCCGTTACAAACGTACAGTACTTTTCCGTAACATACTTCCCACTTCCATTTCCGTATGTATGTGGGCGGCTTTAATCTTTATAAAAAAATAAAGGTTTACATAATGATTTCTTATATTTACGCGAACACTACACATGTCCTGAGGACTTGCAGTGCAGCAAGACCTCAGGACATAGTCAGTTCATTCTGCATAGATCGGTCCATAAACAATAATTAAAAAAGCTGAAGGTACTCCGGGTTTAACAATGACATCAGGACGTCAGTCATCTCAGTCACCCGTGACCATGGGTGCTGGAAAGCGCCCGAAACGTCAGGAATTAAAAATAAAAGTAATTAAAAGTAAAATAAACGCGATAAAATCCGTAAAAGTAGTTTTAATCAAAATAAAGGTTTGCCAATTTTTTTATACAATAAGGGTGACAAACGAGCACACAGTCCACCAGATGGTAAGTGGATGCTATGGCCCGTAGACTTCTACATCTATCCTCGATTAAGAATCAAAATGCAGATATGTTGGGACCCCTGAGGATTAAGATAAAATGTTTTGTTTGCAGTAAAAAGGATCTCCGGTTTTCTACACTCATCATACGAAACACTGGTATTCTGTAAGAGCGTGTTACTCAGCCGGCAAATGGGTAGATTTGTGATTTTTACGTATTATTTGTATATTTAAGTAATTTAACAATTCTGCTATATCAACTAACGTTGAGCAAAACTATAAAGATATTCGATTCTCTGAGGACTATCATATTTCGTGAGGAGGTGTAACTATAGTACCTATTCGATAAACAAAAACAGTAGTAAGTTGTTATCGATTTTTTAGTCTCGCGTGCCAATTATGAGAGTAAGTACCTATCTCTGTAGCCAGTCGTGCGTAAAGTATTCGTGTTGATTTTAACTAAATCTTACTCGCTACTTCTATTTTCTCAAGACAAAACACGAATCCATTCTTTGTTTGAAACGTGTTTACAAGCGTTTGAAACATAATATTGTTTTAAGCATTCTTGTTTTAATATACAAGTCATTATTGTTTTAATATACAAATAGGAAAGGAATTAAAATTAAATGGTCTAAATATAATTTAGTTAGGTACAGCCACAACTCCAGGGTTTCAATTATGGATGTTTTAAAGTTATAGTCAAGATCAGGAAGATCCAAAAGAATGAAACCAGTTTAGGACAATATACACTAAGGCCGATCTCAAATAAACTGGAGACAGCACGTCGGACATTATGATACTGGTT